CTCCTTCCAGTCTTTCTTAGTCTGTAAAATGGGGTTAACAAGTTTCTTTGGCTTGACCCTGATGGGTTAGTGAGTGCATGCAGCAAAGGGCACTTTGAAAGTAAGATGCAATATATTGGAGTTTTTACTATCACCATCAGCCAAAGACCGGGAAGTGGGGGAAATGTCTGCCAAACAGTCCCGCAGAGGATGGAAAGCCCCCTTCTCCCTCAAGGAAAATGCCAGTGTTTAGTCCCAATGATTTTGGAGAGAGTAGTTCCCCTGCCCCCATTCCTGAGAGGGAGAGAAATGGATTTTTCTCTCCCAAATGGTGCTGGGTCTTCACAACTCTAAATATCTCAGACCCGAGAATGTTCTGAGCAAACCACGGTATACATAATACATGCTTCTGTTCTCAACTAAAAACAGGCCTCTGGACCACGAAGGCACCAGCCAGCAAGGGGCCCCACCTCTATCCTCTACCCCCCAACCCTCAGACCTGGGCTCTGGTAAGCTGGGGTTAGTGGGGGTGGGGAGCAGAGGCTCCTGGGCCCTTGGTGCTTTCCAGGTGATTTCCCGAATACCTGCCGGGCTGGGTTTGCAGGCTGGGTCTGTGCTGGCACTGGGAAGATGGCTATAGGAGGACCCCAAGAGTGCCCATTCTGGTGGGGGAGGCCAGTGATAGCACAGTTCCTGCACTGGGGGTGGGGCGGGGATCCGTGTTCACATTGGTAAGGTTTCCAGTGGGCCTGGGGGCACCATCTCTTCCTGGAGGGACAAATGAGTTGAAGTGAAAAGAATGAATAAACGTTTACCTGAGGGGTGACCGGTTAGCTCAGTTGGTTAGAGCGTGGTGCTGATAACACCAAGGCTGTGAGTTCGATCCCAGCTGGGCCACTGTGAGCTGCGCCCTCCCAGAAAGAGTCAACTATGCCATTGTAGCATGAAAGCAATGTGTAACCAATGACCATGGCTGTTCCCTCATAAAATAAAATTTTAAAAAAGTTTACCTGATTAGGGCAGGGGACAGGGAGCACATTTCAGGAATGTCCGAAGCCTGGAGGCCTGAAAGAGTAGTGCACAGTGAGTGTTAATGGAGGTGGGGAGGATAAACGGGGTTTTGCACTGGAAAGGGCTATGGGACCCCAAAAGGGCAGAGCCTGAAGGAGCCTGGAGGGGCAGCTTCAGAGCAGAAAGTCACCCTACCTCAGCTTCCTCATCTGTACTATGGGCACAAGACCTCCCCTTTGCCTTCTACAGGGTTGGATGGAAGGTAAATGAGACAGAGAAAGGGGAGGCACTTGTGCCTTCATACCCCACTCCCACTCGGGATGTACAGAGGCTGGGTTGAGGAGGCAGGGGTAAGGGTCTCATGTCTCCACTGTTCTCCATGCACAGGGACTCAGACTAGGGATCCTGAACCCCCTCCCAGACCTGGTCTGGGCTGTCGGATGGAGGTGGCTATGATTGAACCCCCCCCTCCCCCGGATGTGGGCACGTGGCTTTGGCAGTATCTACCACTGTGGAAATGGGATCTGGGTCCTAGCTGTCAGGTCAGGAAAGCTGCTCTCCACTGGGGGGCTCTGCAGGGCCCCATCTTCCGGTCTGACCAGGCTGTTTTGCTGTGTTGGTTCTTCATCTCCTACCTTCCTGAAGGGGGCCCCTTGCCCCCCATCCTCCATCCCTCCTGGAGAGTCCCTGCCTGGTTGGAGCTGGGTGCCTGTGTATGTTGGGGAAGGGGGTGGTGGCTGCGCCACACACCGCAGATCCCAGCTGCCTCTGGACGCTGAAAAATCCAATTTTCTTCCTAATTGCCACCGCCCGCGCTCTCTCTCCCCTCACAGCCTACTTCTGCTTGGCGGCGCTGTGTCTCCCCCCAACCCCCGCCCCCCACGCTCCCGACTCCTGCCTCCCGCTGCCCACCCCACGGCGGACGCTGGCCCCCCTTCTCGGTCACCCGTGTCGGGACGCACCATATATCATGTCCGCAGCCGGGAGGGGCTGGGGGAGCGGACAGGCCCCCGCCCTGGGCTCCCTGACGAAATCGTCCTTTTCCGCGGCGGATGACAGGTTGTGGGAACAACAGCTTGAATTACGGAAAGAAGTTTCCCCACTGAGTTAATCTGCAGTGGCTGGAGGTGACCTTCTGGGGACGGCGATTAATCACGGGCCGTGGCGGGCGCCGCGCCACGCCGGGCCCTTTGGGGGAATACTAATTCCACTACAAGATAAATCATAATTTGACAATAATCATCTGCCCTAATCACTCCAATTCTTCCGTTTAATTATTTGTATACATCGTGTTTCTTCCATGAGGACCCTGTGTGTGCCCATGGGTGGGGAGGGACAGCCGCCTGGGCACAGACCCCTCTTGGGCTCCTTAGCCTCTTGCCCTACTGGTGTGCCCGGGGAGGCCTGACCTAGATCCACTAAGGGAGACGTTAGGGCTCAGAGTTGTGATAGGGTGACTGGGGAAACTGAGATTCAGAGAGGGGCCAGGACTTGCCCAGGCTTGGGGTGAGCCAAGCTGAAGACTCAGGCCTCTGATGTTCAGTCCTAGGCGGCATCCCAACGCACCACCCTGCTGAAGAATGGGCCCAGAGTGCCTCGCTTCCACTGCCCTGCTCCCTGACCTCTATCCCCAATCTCCTGTGGTGCCTGGTCCTACCCTCCATTGGCCAACGTGGACAGGGTTGCTGGCTGCTTCCACTCCCGCTACTCAAGCTCTGGGCCTGGCTGTCCACTCAGGACATGAGGATCAGGGGCTGTGGGCATCTGAGCAGATGTTGCCTGGTGCCACTACCAGGGGCTGTGTGACTGCTGTCAGTTGATGGGACCTCTATGAATCTGTAGCCTTTACTTGTAAATTGGGTAGGCCTCCTTCTCTTCCGGCCCAGTGCCAGATCCACAGGGGTAGTCACAGTGAGCACCACAGGGGTGCTCACAGATGCCTCCCACTGCCCCTTCCTGTTCTGTTAGGGTCCAGCCACTAGATCTCTGCATTTCCTACCCCTGAACCTCTTCCCAAATTTGGCACCTGGTGTCACCATGCTCAGCCCTTGGGTTGGGCTGCCAGGAGAGTTCCAGGGACTTACCCCTGTCCCTGAAATTCTCCTTGGAGGGGCTGGCTGGACTGCTGCCAGCTCTGGCTCCCTGAATCAGGAATCAGAATAACTCAGTGTCTTTCTTCTTCCAGGCGGGCTCCTGGCACCCCACGGTGGGCGGTAGTGGACCCAGCCTGGCCCCCTAGATGGGGCTCAAGTGGGAACTGTGGTATACCTTTGGCAATATGAGGGATGACTTCCCCAAACAAGAGCCAAAAGCCTAGCTGGGTGTGTGCTGATGGGGCTACAGCCATGAGAATGATATACTGATGATAATGAAAATAATGCTAATGGCATTCCTGACAGCAGCCTGCCTGGCGATCTCCTGGTCCCAAGGACGGCTGATGGTAGACTGAGGGTGGAAACACAGCCCTTATCATCAGGATACCCCAGTCTCATGGAAGAGACTTTGGTGGCCCCTTTGCTCAGATCAGAGAGAGAAGAAAGAAGTGGGAAAACTACAAACCACAGTATTGCCTGCCAATATTTATGGAGCTCCCGCTGTGTGCCAGGCCTGGTGCTCAGTACTCTGCCTGCATCACATCTCTGAGTCCTCATGACCAAGTGTGCATGAGGTGATGTTAGTCCATTTTACAGATGGGGAAACCAAGTCTCAGAGAGGTTAGGTCACTTGCTCTGTGTCACTAAGCTTGTGAGTACAGACTGGAATTTGAACTCAGATTCTTTCTCCAGCCTCCCCTGTCTCCCAAGAATCTTGACAAAACTATCTCGTCAGTATTGTAAGATTTCTGCTCAGAGGATCTGGGAAAAACTGAGTCAATCTCTACCTCTCAGAATTTCAGTCTTCCCAGCTGTGAAAAGGGACCTGGGGCAATTGTGAGACTGGAGTTGTGAAAAGGCAGTCAATTAGTGCCTCAGCCCTCCATACCTGTAAGTCCCTCATGGGGCTGACTTCCTTCCCTTCTGCTGTAGTTCCTCTTCACTGATCCTCGGTGGACACCTGGCTCCCTTCTTCTCTGTCTTTGGCCAGACTTGAGCCCTCCCATCCCAGCTCCTCAGTGACTCTTGCTTGGAGGAGGGGATATGTGTGGGACAGGCAGTGTCCTCTATCTGATGCCATTTCCTGACAACCCCTGGACAGATAAGCCATGGCTTATGAACGGTGGAGGCCCTGCTGGCTTTGTGAGATGTGTTTTGGTCAGGCATCCTCTGGCTAGCCCACAGTCCTTACCCCACCTAGCCTATCTTTTTGGGGCCAGTATTCCCACATACCAGGTACAGCTCTGGAGGGTGGCTGTGCAGGAGTGCACACTCTAGCTATAAAGACCTAAGGGGGGGGGGGTGTCATTTGGCCTCTTTGAGCCTCAGTTTCCTTATCTGCAAACCAGAAGTAATAATAATACCTGCTTACCTATTGTTAATATAAATATCAGGCATGGTGCGATCATACAGGGGTCAACCAATTGTCGCTGTCCCTTGGCATGGCCTCTAAGTCACCTTTTTGGGGTGACCTAGAGGGGAGGGGCATCCCCCCTGCAGACAGCACTCCACTCAGCAAGGCGCTGGACCAGTCTCTTCCCATCCAGAGCCGGCTGCCCTTCCTGAGAGGGAATGGCAGGAGGGGTGGCTGGCTGGGAGGGAGGTGGTGGAACTGTGGCAGAAGAGAGGGGAAGCAAAGGTTAGCTCGAGTGGGAGAGAGATGGCCTGGGGGGAGAGCAGCTGAGTCGCTGGGGAAGGAGGGAGGCTGTCGCGCTATAAATACCTCTCAGGTAACAGGACCCGTAAATGAAGGGAGGGAATTAGTCACATTCAGCGGCGCCTCCGAGAGAGGACAAGGAGCAATGACCTAAATCCATGGAAGGGAAAAAATTAGGCTAACCTTGGGAGGGGGGTGTTCAGGGGCTGGATACTGTTCCTTCTCAGAGGGGGTACCCTGGACAGGATCTACTGGACAGGGGCCAGGGAGGAATCACTATGGCAGGAGGGGTCTGGAAGGGACATTTTGTCTCCCCGATGCCCAGATGTGTGAGATGTATGACGGGCTCTTTTCTTCTCAAGGATTCCCTAGCCTCTCAAAAACGCAAACCCATTCCTCTTGGAAGTCCTTTGAGGAGGCTAGCCATGGCCTTTCCTCATGTCACTCTGAAGCATGTTCACGTTTGCTGCCTTCCTGAAGCCCTCACTGTCCTTGAGGCCCCCTAACCTTATTATGCATCCAGCTCTGTTCGCTGGGTTCCTGGTTCAGGCTGAAGAATCTTTGCTTGGGGAGCAAGAAGGATGTGTCCTTCTCTGCACCCACTGCCGGGGCTGGGTCCACTTGTCCCTCACTGGGATGATGACCAGGGCTGGTGCTCTAGTCTCCCAGCCCCAAGCTTCACCCCCATGGTTGCCAGAGCAACAGTCAGTGCATGCCCTCCCATGCTCACACCTTCCCTACTCCTCTAGCAATGGAGTCCAGGCCCCTTGGCCTGTGTACCAAGCTTCCAAATAGCCTTCTAACCACATCTGCCTTTGCTCTCCCTCACACCCACCCTGCCACTTTAAATTCCCCAGGTCTTTTCATGGGCTGTCCTTTCAGCTGAGGATGCCTCCCCTTGTTCTGCCTGGCAGACTTGCATTTTCTCGCAGGCACCAAGCTGGAGTCTGAAATTCTCCCTGCAGTTTCCCCTTCTGACTTAGGTCTTCCTCATCTATGTTCTGGAAACACTTGCGGCAGGGTTCGTGTGGGGAAGTGGTTAAAATCCAAGTTAGAAGGCCAGCTCTGCTTCTTACTATGTGCCCTTGGGTGAATACATGAGCTCTCTTGGTGCCTCAGTTTCCTCATCTGTAAAAAGGGATTCTCACAGTGCTTTTCAAGGCTGGTAGGGTTGGGGTGAGACCCTGCATGAAGGCACAGCCCACAGTCAGCGGGTGGCTGTTGTTGGGGGTCACAGTATTGATCGCACTGTTTCTGTGTCTGCCTCCTCTGTGGGCTGTGAGATGTGTGTTGGGGGGTGGTGGTGGTGGCGCTGCGTCCCCGTGTGACTCGTCGCTGCAGCCGCAATGGCCAGCTCGCGCCTGGCACTGAGACGATCGGCAAATGTTTGCTGAATTAATGAGTGGGGGCTGCAGGGCGGGCTTGGGCTGCAGTTCTGCCTGGGCTGCTGCAGCTGGGGCGCCTCTGTACATGTAGGTGTGTGCCGTGGGATTATGAGTGAGGGGTGCCTGTGGGTGGGGGAGTCGTATCTGTGTCCCGGGGGTCTTGTGGCGCCATGGGCAGCCTGGCGTGCCCGCTCCCTGGGGTCCCCGCCGAGTGCCTGCCTGGCTGCGGGACCCCGTTGCCAGGAGCAGTCAGGATGCGGCAGCGTCTCCATGGCAACGCGGCATCTCGAGCCGCGAGCCGCCCTCCCCCGGCGCCCCGCAGTGGGCAGGAGGCCGAGCCTGGCAGCCCCTCCCGGCCCAGCAGCCAGCAAGCTGGGCCAGGAGGCCGAAGCCTGGTGGGAGGGATCGAGGGGGGGGTGTTCTTCATTTTTCTAGAGATGAGGGGCTGACTTGCTTCCACTTCCTTCTCCAACTGGGGGAGATAGACAATATGAGGGTTTTGTACTCTGCCCAGGTGCAGCGCTCCCCTGCATTTCTGACCTGGAAATCAGGAATAGGTCCTGGTCAGGAGACCCTCACTGGCCAAGGGACATCTCTGATCTAAGTCCTGGTTGTGAAAATGGCACAATGATCTAGGCTTGTGGGGCTGTTGTGAGGGGACACTCAGGCACTTCCCTGGCCCAGCATATGAGTACAAGCCTAATGACTTCCCAGACACATCCAATGTCTGCCAGTATCCTGACTTCCCACCAACGAGGCCCATGTCCTTAGTATCTGCCAAGAGCTGTCCCAGTGCCCCTTTACCCTTTCAGTCGTGCCATTTCCCCAAACCCACTCAGTGCTTCTCACAGTGGCCTCAATGACATCCCCCCGTTCCCACCCAGTGCCTCTGGTACTCACCCAGTATCTTCCCAGTGCCCCTCAGTACTTCTGAGTACTCACTTGGTGTCTCCAGTTGTTACCCAGTGTCCCCCTATGCCTACTCAGTACTTTCAAA